GGTATGGTTTGGTTTGTTTATGGTTTGGTATTGGAATTCGATTGATTTTTGATAATATAATTTCTTTTTTTAATAAGATGGTTGTAAAATTCTGGTGGATAATTATTTTTTTCTAAAATATCTTTAACTTTTCTCAAATTTGCGGAATGGTACTCTGGACTAAATAGTTTAATTGTTCTGTCAGTAAAACTGAACACAACACCTCTTTTATGCGCTATGGGTTGAGCTATGGGACTAACATCCCAATTGAAATAGCTTTAAACAGTGTCAAGACTACTGCGTACGCCGACAACTCGGGATTTTGGGTGATTTTGAAGGACGAAGATAATTGATTAATAAAAGAGAGTTGAAGGAGAATTTTAATGGATATTAAGTTGATAAGTTGATAAGAGGAAAGTTGATTATATGTTGCTGAATCCTTAAAACTGATGTCGGTAGTTTTTTGAACGGTATAAAAGTAATTTTTTAAGTAAGAAAATAAAAAAAAATATAGCAATTTCTTGACTAGGAATACTGATTGGGAAAAGTTTGCAGTATTTGAGTTTTGCAGTATTTGTAAGTACAAAAAATGTATCATTCATCTGGCTAATCATAGCCAAGTATAGTTTGACAGACAAAAAAGATAGGAGGGATTGTTAAGACATTTGATTTCATATGAGCAGCAAAGGAAGGAGTTTTAGCTAGAGAGCTATGATAAAAGAACTTCAGGGACAGTTGGAGTTAACAAATAATCAAAAGATATCATTTATACGTTATATACTAGTGAATATTATTAAAAATAATTATATGAGGGTATTTTTAAAAATTTAGCATGGGAATAAGTTTTAAAAAGTTTTTATTTTATTTTATTTTATTAATAAATATATTTAAGTGAGCCATGTGCATACGCAACCAAATATACACTGTCTATGACATGACGATGCCTATTTTTGAACTAAATAAGTGACAGATGAAAAAAGATATTAGTTTATATATAATAGTGTATTCTGATCTGAAAGCCTTAATGTCTATTAAATTATCCATGGAAAAGCAAAGAATTTTCTCGAAAAACATGTCAATATAATGAAGTTGGCCTATTTATGTGGTGGACTGTTCGAGAATATTCAGACATGGATGAAATAGAAAAAATTCGAACATGATTTATTCCTAGAACAGTCTGGAACAATAAAAGGATATAAATACGAGGTAATTTGGAGCAGGCAGGCATTAAGTTAGATTCATTAAGTTAGTGACAGTATGAGAGTAGATTAGATTCATCAAGATAGTTCAAGACGGTTATAATTAATTAAGTCAGATACAGTTGGAGAGTATGAGAGTAAATTAAGACAGTTAGTTTAATACAGTGATAGTTAATTATTAGTACAGTAATACAGTGACAGTATAGAGTTAATTCATTAAGAAGTATGCAGTCAATAGTACAAGCACATAGTATACAGTATATTTGAAAGTACATTATATGGAGATTACAAGAATTTTAAATTATAATATCTATATGGTGAGTGGAGATTATTAAGAAGACACATATTTAAAATTTGTTGGGAGCCGATAATTAAAATATTTTGGTATATTTGGAAAAAGCAATTTCACAAATACAAGGATAATCGAGGCTGAGTAAGATGATATTGAGTGGTGATTATAACTTTAATTTTGGAAAACTTTAGGCATTCAGGGATAGAAATTTACCAAATTTTGTTAATATAATTTATTAATTGTAAGAACTTCAAATTTTAGATAGGTTGTTTTAAATTTTATATTGTTTTTATTATATATATATATATATATAATATATATATATATATATATAATAGTCTGTTTCATAATAGTTATAATTAGACTTCGGCAAATATGCATATTGCATATTTTGCATATTGTGCATATTTTATGCAAATATTTCATATTTTGGCATATTTGTATAAAAGTTTGCATAAAGTGCATAAAAGTTCAGATTTTTATACTGTATTTGAAAATTTTTAAACATACCAATTTATTTCAATTCTTGTATAAAATTTTGTAGTCATTTTAATCAAGAAATGATCTAAGTACGTAATCTCTACAGGTACAAAACATTTACAATTTCAAAGAAGATCAATTTAAGTAGCCCTCAACATTCTTAGAAAGTCTCGGTCACTGAGGCATTCAGTTATTGGATAATCGCTAAGGGTTCGCTCATTTGCATTTTATGATCTAATCCCCAAATCTATCTACAATTTATTGTATCTTAACAGCAGGTAAACGGCTAATAGTTTTGTTCCTAATTTAGGGATTTTCCAAAATCTCCCAGTTTATTGAATTAGGTACCTAAACATTTCTAATTTGATGCTCAGATTTGTAAATCATTTTTGTTTTGATATTCAAAGCGTAAACACTCGTTGTGCGTAACAAAAAGGAAGATTGTGATTTTATAATGCCTAAAACAACCAGTGCTTCAACTTGGATTAAACCTTATAAAGAGCTGTCTATGGATATGGGAAAAATCTACTGTTCAGTCTGTGGCAAAATTGTAAGTATCTAATATTTTCTATTAAATATCTAATATTTCATACATACAGGGTGTTTCCAAATGACACTTACAACGTTTGACTGTAGATACTTCTCGAAAAATTGAACAAAACGATATAGTTAATGAGGGTCAAACTTATTTACTTTTCGAGATACAGGGTGTTAAAATTAAAAAAAATTAAATTCTTTTAGTTAATAACAACAATAACTTTAAAACCAATAAACGTATTTACTTGAAATTTAGTACTCGTAGGTTGTTTTTAAATGAAAAATAGCTTCCTTTAGTGAGAAAAAATTGTCCATGGTACAATACAATGGTGTGTATTTAGAAAAATTTTTCACCTTTACTTTTTTTTATGAAGTCAGCTATTCTAAAACACAATTATTTTTATTGTAATTGAATTAACAAAAAAAAAACTTTTGTTGAATTTTAAAATAAGTTATATGATGTACTAATGGTTAGTAACAAAAACTAATTTGTGGATTAATACTGCATTTAAAACACTTAGCGAGTGTTTTTTTTCCAAACCAGTTATTTGATTAACCAAAAACACCTTGTATATTTTTATATTTTAAAGGTTGGGTTAAAATAAAGGTTTTTATTTTTATTTATAGATAGCATGTGAGAAGAAATTTCAGATAGACCAACATGTGAGAACTGCTTCACACATTGCAAAAAAAAGGAAAAATAGGAGGAAAACATCAAACTTCAATGGCTAAATGTTTCCAATCTACTTCAAAAAAATTAGATGAGCAAGAAACTTTAATGAAGACTTGTGTCGCGCATTAGTGTCTGCAAACATACCGCTTTCAAAATTAGCAAATGTAAATTTTAGTTCGTTTCTAAAAAAATATTGCAAACTTAATGTTCCAAGTGATCGGTCTCTAAGAAGAAATAATGTGAACGGCTATACTCGTCGGTGTTAATTAATATTAAGGAAGAAATTGCAGATAATTATTTTTACATATCTGTAGACGAAACCACTGATTCCTCAGGAAAGTATATTGCTCATTTATTGATTGGTGTTCTTAAAGAAGATACCTTACCAAAATCTCATCTTATTTCATGCCAGCAACTTGAGAAAACAAATGCTTTAACAATTTCGCGTTTTATACAAGAAACATTAGCAACTTTTTTTCTTCCGACAACTATTCCTTCTAATAAATTACTGCTTATTTTATCGGATGCTGCTCCTTATATGGTGAAAGCAGGACAAAATTTAAAAATATTTTTCCCAGATTTAATACATGTTACTTGTGTAGCGCATGGATTAAACAGAGTTGCAGAGGAAATACGAAAAAAGTTTCCTCTTGTAAATACCATGATATCCAGTGTCAAAAAAGTATTTCTTAAATCTCCTATAAGAATTCAACTTTATAAAGAAATGCTACCTAACATTCCTCTTCCACCACAACCTATTTTAACGCGATGGGGAACATGGTTAGAAGCAGCTAATTTTTATGCAGATCATTTTGTTAAAATAAAGAACATAATTGATACGTTAACAGATGAAAGTTCCCAATCTCTTTTGGATTCTAAACAAACTTTTCAGAGTAACTTGCTTCAACAAGAACTTTCATTTATAAAATCAAATTTTAGTTTTGTTCAAAAAACAATTACTCAGTTAGAATCACCAAAACTGTCATTGTTCGAAAGTACAGCATTAATAAAAGAATTTGCGTCATGTTGTCGGAACGTTAGAGGTAATATTGGAAAAGATATTTTAAAAAAATTTGAAGCTACTATGGAAAAAAATAAAGGTTACCATATTCTTTCTGAAGTAGTCAGTGTTCTAGCTGGAAATATTTCGGAAACAATTAATTTAGAACCAAATGTTTTGGTTAGTTTGAAAAATGCTCCCGTTACATCAGTTGATGTTGAACGAAGTTTTTCCATATATAAATATATGTACTCAGACAGAAGCCACAAGTTTTTGTTAGAAAATTTTGAACACCACTTGGTCATTTATTGTTACCATAATTCTAAATAAGTTTATTCATACTTAAAAATGATGTAGTTACTTAAAATAAATGTAAATCTTAATGAATAGTAGGAAATATTTAGTTATGTACAATTTTTTTGTACATAACTAAATATAGATAATGTTTTTTATAAACACGTGCATATTTATGCGCATATTTTCTACATTTTTATTTGCATATTTGCCGAGTCTAGTTATAGTAAAAAATTTAAAAAAGTACTTACAAACTAATTCTTTGAGAACCGCGATAAAAACCCTATACTTATATATATTATTCAAAATTACTCATCAGCTCATACACAAACAAAACATCATAACAATATATATCATATTATATATATATATATATATATATATATATATATAATATATATATATATATATATATATATATAATATATATTATGTGAGGAAAACTCTGTGTAGTGAGGCGGTACACATCGATGTTAATTTGTGTAATATAAACCTAACTTTCTATCCAAAATTCATAATCAACTTAACCTTATTTTTTTATTCTAGGTGAACTGGTTGTTGTATCCGGTTGGGGGCTTACATACTATGGTTATCCAGACTCTATGGCAACTGTACCAATGGCTGAATGGTTAGTGGTATTAAACAATACAGATAGTGAATGTAAGCGCTTTGGAACCTTAGTTAAAGATACAAATATCTGCTGCAGTACGAGCAACTCTTGGGATGGCCCATTACAATTATGTGATGGAGATTGGGGCGATCCATTAGTAAATGATGGTAAAAATAAAACACTTTTCGGTATTGCTAGTTTCACAGCATATGAAAGTTGTGTAATGGGAAAACCTAATATATTTACAAATGTGCCAAAATACAGTGAATGGATAAAGTCTAATGCAAATATATAAAATATTAATGAGATAATTAAAAATAATTTATTTTATTCAAATAAAGTATTTACTAAAGTTTAGTTTCTTTTGGAATAAATTTTTATGCTATTTTCCTATGAATTTATGTTTTTTACTTTCCAAGACATTCGTATAACCAACTGCATTATGTCATCGCTTAATACATGTACAAAACTTTGAAAGGCAAATTGTTCCAGAAAGTCATCTGTGGCGGTAGGATAGGCTAGTCTGATTAGGCGTACAATATTGGCTTCGAATTCTCGTAAAGATTCGCCGGATTTTTGATGTCTATACCTTATCCTTAACTCAGAATGGCAAACTTCCGGTCAGATGTCTGCCACCATGTCGCCCTTTCCAATTGAGGCACCGAGCTGGAAAAGTTTTTTTGATGTTCTTCAGAGATGGTCTGCAAAACAATCAGGGCTTCTCTCGGAGGGAAACTACAAATAAAACCTATGTAGCTGCCAGAAACTGTTTTGGATAAACTAACCCACTAGTCGTACCATCGTAATGTTGGTAATTTTATTTTAGCCGAGGTGGAATGACATGCGAATTAAGAAATAGTTGCAACACTTGCCTGACTCATTATTTCGGCTACATCAGCTTTCAATTTGTGGTACAATTCCTCGCCGTCGATGCCTCAATATCTCTGTTCGCCGTTGCGAGGTATTCTCATTCAAAACTTTGTATCTAGTTTTCGGTCAGCTTACTTGCTAAATTTTTCATTGTAGTCGACCTGCAGTGTGGCTAGTAATAAAAGATCTTGAAAGAAGGGAACTGCTAGAACATCTGTAGATTCAGTCGGTTTTAAGTTGCGTGAGCTCTAGCGTAAAAGTTGTAGAAAAAGAAACAAAACGAACCGAAAACGCACTAGGTACTACTTACGCATACAATTAAAATTAGTATAGGGCTAATGAACATACGCATACACAATTAATAAAACGGTTATAATAAAGTTGTGGAGATATCCAATGGTCTGTCCGTAATTCCATAAGAGAAGGAAATTAATGGCGAATAAGGTAACCAAGAAGAACAACGTAAAAAAAAAAAAACCTTACAAAGAGAAACATATTAGATTATCTCCTGTTTACAACACTATCATATAAAGGTAAATCTAAAATTAATAAATTAATCTAAAATATCGTAAAACTACGTAAAAGGAATAATATAATTTCTATAGCAAATTTAAACAAGCAAAAAAATTAAAAGCTAATAAATAAACCTAAACTTTTTCAAAACTACGCAAGAGCAATAATTTAATTCGTTTAGTAACTATGTAAGCAAAAATAAAAACGAAAATATGATCATATACATACTAACCTCTGGGTAGAAGTGATTTTAAGGCGGGTATAGATCAATATGTACTTTTTATACACAGAGTATTTATCACCAGTAAATATTGGCTACCTTATCGATTAGGTGTTTTACATGTGGTGTTACGGCTGGTGATAAGGCCTACAAATTTCAATAAAAAATAATAACTTTCATAGTTATTATTTTGATCTCCGAGCACAAAATGTGCATGTATAGTGCATAAGAAGAAGTATTACACATACCTAATGTAGTAGAAATCATTGGTTTGACGATGAATGCAAGAATGCAACAAAAGAAAAAAATGAAGCCTACAGAGAGATGCGTACCCAACGAACTAGAACAACTGTAGAGAATTATCAGACAAAAAAGAGAGAAGAAAAGAGTATACACAAAAGAAAAAAACGTAACCACCTAAATGTAGAAGTTTAATATATAGAAAACCTCAACAGAGAGAAAGAATTCAAAGCATTCTATAACAAAGTTAACATCAACAGAAAAGAATTCAAGGCAATCACAAGACAATACAGAAGTCAAAATAGCGACCTATTAACAACAAGGAAAGATGCATTAAATAGATGGGTGGAATACTTTAACCAGGCACTTAATAAAGAAGAAAAACTGGAAGACGAAAGAGATGAGATAAGGGGAACAGACGAGAGGGAAGAGGAAAACACCAACGATTCTTGAAGTTAGAGATGCAGTTAAAAAACTAGCCAGAAACAAATCACCCGGAAATAAATAATCTCCCAGCTGAACTATATAAAGAAAGTAGCCATAATACCATAATGGCATTAGAGCAGCTTATAAAAGAAATATGGACACAGAAATCTCTCCCCAATGATTGAAATATTAGAATACTTTGCACCATACACAAAAAGGAAGGATATTTGAATGCTCTAACATAGAGGAATTACACTTTAAAATGCAGCGTATAAAATATTTTCCACAGTACTATGTATCGTATGGCACCTATATGCAGAATGGAGAGTAGGAAAATACCAGGCTGGTTTCAATGGTGGTAAATCGACAATTTATTAGATTGCAACCCTGAAACAATTAAAAAAAACACTAAAATATGGCATTGATTATTATCATCATCATCCAGTCTTCATTTATAACGTCCACTGCTGGACATATGCCTCCCTTAAACTCCTCCATTCTTTGCTTTTGTGCTTTTTGTTGTCAATTTTTCGTGATACGCCTGATGTCGTCAGTCCAACGTGTATGTGGTCTTTCTCTACTACGTTTGTCTCCAATGTGTGTAATTTTGCTCGTCCATCGTGAGTCATGCATTCTCGATACATGATCTGCCAATTCCATTTTTAGTTTCGCTATGTGTTTCACAACATCAGCAATAGTCGTCCTTCTTCGCAGATCTTCGTTTCTTATTCGGTCCCGCAACGTCACTCCCAGTATAGATCGTTCCATTCGTCTCTATGCCAGTCTCAATTTCGAAGCCGTAGTCATAGTTGGTGTCATAGTTTCCACCCCATAGGTCATGACCAGTAATACACATTGGTTAAATACTTTTTTTTTAGGCTAATTGGTATGTTAGCCCTAAGTGTGTCTCGTAGTTTTCTAAAGGCTGCCCACGCTTAAATAATTCTCTTTTGGATTTCGCATATTTGGTTATCCCTGCTGATTCTTATTTCGTGATCCAAATACGTATATTTCTCCACCAGTTCTACCACTTTGTTTTGAACAGTTAAATGGTTATTGGGGACCATATTTGTCATAAACTTAGTTTTGGACAAGTTCACTCTGAGAACATGCAAAGCCCAATTCATTTAACATATCTGTGACTTCTCCTAAATTATCTTCATAAGGACAATGCCAACGGAGATGGTTAAGTTTTTCGCCATTGTTACTCCTTTGTGGTCCCAATTGACCATCTTAAAGGCATACTCTAATGCCGTTAGGAATAATTTTGGTGCCAATGTATCTCGTTGCCTTATCCCACGTTTTATTTTTATTGGTCAGGTTTTATCGTGTATTTTAACAGTCATAGGGGCATTTTTGTAAATATTGTAAATAAGTTCACTATAGATCCAGTCGTGTTTTAGTTCACCTACGAATCGGACGTGCCTATCAACAAAGCGAAACGAAATTAAACTGTATTCGTTTAAAAATTGTGTTTTATAAATCTTCAAATTTGGTGTAAAAATAAAATTAGATTGTGAGTTAAGAACAATTAAATGGACCAGTTAGTCGGGGGGAAACCCCCAGACGACCCAGCGCCAACAGATATACGTCAAAAAAATATAGTTTTTGGTGAATGTGATTTATTAATAAATCCAACCTCATCAAAAAACGATATACAAACAACAACAATGAACATTGATAACACACCGAAAGAAAGAGAGGAGTTTTTGTATGTAAGTACTGATTTAGGCCCGTATCATATTTATGTTGAGAATAATTCTGTCGAATATAAAGGAAAATTAAATGCACTTAAAATCGGAGATATAATTCTTTCTAACTTTCCGGAGATAGACAATAAAATTATTAGTATTGATTCTATAGGTCGGAATAGGGTTAGGATCAAGTTAAAGGATTATAAATCAGCAAATTTTCTAATAAAGAATAAAAACGAAAATATTTTTGTTAAAAATAACTTTGTATTGTATATCCCAAAATTCATTCTTCATAGACAAGGTGTTATTAGAGATATAGAAAAAGATTTTTCAGAGGCGTACATAAAAGATAAAATAAGACAATTTGATCAACATTGCACTTTTGAAGTATCTAATGTCAAAAGAATAAAACGTAAAGTAGAAAAAATTACGGATGAAGGTAAAATAGTAGAATATGTACCCACAAAGTCTTGCATTGTTATTTTCAAATCACAAATCTTACCAAAATATATTTCTATTAATAAAGTTATCAAGGAAGTAGAGCCGTATAACCAGAAAGTATTATTATGTTATAACTGCCTCCGTTTTGGTCACCTAGGAGGTCAGTGTAGAAGTAAACCAAGATGCAGCAAATGTCAGGAGTCCCATACCACACAAGATTGTAATAATTCAGATTACATACCACGCTGCTTTAACTGTCAAGGAAATCATCTTACTACTAATTTGTCTGCTTGTCCAGAATTTAAAAGACAAAAAATGGTAAAGGAAACCATGAGCTCTTGCAATATTAATTTCTTTGATGCAAATAAACAGGTCCCAAGAAATACGTACGCAAACATAGTCGCTCAGAATACCTCTGCCATGGAAAGTGGTCAAATATCCTCGACAAATTATTCCCAACGGCTTCAATCTGGACCTACCCCTTCTAGTACAATATAGTATCATTCCTCTCAACCTCAGTACTCACAGTCCCACAATTTACAACCCAAATCCTATAATAACAATTTACTAAATATATGTTTTCTTCCCCTACAACTTCAAACCCAAACAAAAGGCACAGGCCAACCAGCCCTGATCCCATTGAAATTTCAAGAAAAGAAATATTTACACAACCAAACACCTCTTTTGTCTCAGGGGAAATTTTTAATAGTCAACATTATTTAAAAAACTCAGTCGGAGTAAAATTACAATCAGAGGAATTAAATGCAACAATAAGTTTAGTCTTAGAAGTAGTTCTTAATATTATAAGTAATATAAAACAAACAAACAATTTTGATGTATCAAAATCTGAAATAGTGGAAATAATTAGTAAACATGTAAACCATACCTTGT